ATTTTTTTTGTTTAGTTTTGTTTGAAATGAAGATTTGTGCCCCTCATGCCACAAATGGATCCGTTTTCATAAATTTACTGCAGTCCTGAAACGTTCCTGCGGGTCTGAATACGAAAACACACAAACAAACAACATTAACTTCTGACCCAGAATATCCATCCACACCTCCAGAAATTCCTCAGAGTAAAAACATGACTGCATGCAAGAGTTTTGGATTATTACGAGACGGTCGGCTGCTGCAGACCTGAGAGCTGATTTCTTTTATTTATTGATGCTGTGGATGTTTCTAAATACATGACATATTGATAAAGACAAACTGTTATGGTTCGGGCTGGGAGACTCAATTGTTACTTTTAATTTGGAGGAAACACGGCAAACTTCTCATGTCATGCCTTTTGTGCACTTTGAAGAGGGGAAACTCAGAACAGTTTGTGAAGTCCAGCTCCTAAATGTTACATTTGTTCCACAAAGATGAAAATGAAATAATTGGGGTCAGAAGGAACAAAATCAGAAAATCCAGCAATGTTCACTAAGGTCAGCTGGATGGTTTCTTTTGTTGTTGAGACGTTTCGTGCTTCATCCAAAGGACTTCATCAATCCGATAAGCCACAAACAAAGGCTGCCTCAGAGGAGTCGACGGGGGAAGAGAACGGACCCCAGAAACCACCTCATTACCAGCAAACTGGTTAGTCCACTATGTGGGTGTGCTGCTTGTGGGACTCAGTTTGTTTGTGGCTTCTTGGATTGAAGAAGTCCTTTGGATGAAGAACGAAATGTCTCAACAAAAAAAAAAAAAACTGTCCAGATGACCTGACTGAACTTTGATGGATTTTCTACCTGGATTATTGATTATGAACTTTGATATAAATCAGATAACTTTGTGTTTGTTTAATCTTAGTTTTGATTCTGCTGCCCGTTGAGTCAGTTTCTGCTTTTATTTGTAGCCTAAAAGTCCTAATTTTTCTTTAAATATCTGCTTCAGAAAGACTCCTCGACACTGGATGACAACTTTATTATAATGGAAAAAATAAATAATTAGTGAGAACATGGATGATCTTTGCAGGAACAGTACTTGGCGTGGTCCTCAAGGACATATTAACGCACAGGACTCCTCTTCTCACCACCCACTCATGTTCGGGCTGCTGTTTGACACACCATATTTACATTATTGTGTTTAGCGTATATCTTAGATGTTTTAGCGTACAGTTTGGAGTTTATTTAGCGTATATCTTAAGCCCTATTCGCACTGGATTAGTTTTACCTAGGGATCAGATGCTATTTGTAATAATTATGGAGATTGTCTGTGTTGTTAATCCCATGTGAATGGGCCATGTTAGTAATTTGTAAAGTGAAAATTCCCCCGCAAATTACCTACTATATTTTGCTGAACTCCGAGGTCCAGTGATAATACTAATCCAATGCTAATAGGTATCTCTGGGATTTGGACAGAAATGGGTGGGATCAGATACGTAATGAGGCGGGGTTTTTTTGTTTTTGCTAAAGCAAAATCATTTGGAAAAATATAGAACAAGGCTATTTTAAATGAACGCTCTGCTCACTTCGGCTTTTGAAGATGCTGTTACTTCACCACAGATGACAGCAGGTGTGGAGATGCGTGCGTGATCAGCTGACCCATCCATCCATCCATTATATTTACCCGCTTCTTCCTTTTTGGGTAGTGGGAGTCACTGGTGCCCATGTCCAGACATCACTGTGCGAGAGGCAGGGGACACCCTGGACAGGTCGTAAGTCCATGTTAACCAGCGGGTCAACAGACGCACGGTGGCTCACGTGCACAGCCGGTGACAGCTGTCCATCTGATCTTAACGTGGCTTTTTTTAACTTCTTAAATGGGCCTGTCGGACCTGCCTCCTCCTCAATAAGTAGATTAACACAATTTTATATTGTGTTTTCTTTTTTAGTTGCCTTTTTGCTGATTCGTAAAACCACATCAAAGCCTGAGACCAGCCCGGACCACACATTAAGCACATTATTATGGACCGGCCCGGTCATGACAATGCAGCGTGTTGTCATATCCGGAAGATGTCTGTTAATTTCAGCTAAATCTCAGGCTATGGTTATCCTGTGTGAATGTGCCACATAAAAAGCAGACGCTGGGGAGTAATTTATTTATTACACATGGTCCCTAGTTAAAACTAATCTTGTGCGAATATGGCTTTAGTGTATATCTTAGATCCTTCTATACGGTTTATTTTATACAGTATTTTGGGTGTAACTGGAACCCGTTCCAACTCATGTACTACATGTGATGTGAATGACAAACTCGACTTGAACTTGAATTATGCACGACAGAACATGAACACCAAGGCTGTGGTGGTTGACCATCATAGTGGCAGCTTCCATGGCAGGGGGCTTTGTCTTCAAGAAACTAAAGCAGAACAAAGCACACTGGCCTCATGCCATAATCATGACAAGGTCATCCAAACAACCTAGCGCAGATCCGATACCTGTGGCGGCAGCATCGAGCTGCTGTGGCGTAATTTAGCAACCAAGTATGTTCTGATCTGTCCAGGACTGTTCTCCCAGGGCAAGGACAAAAGTACAACATCAAGAAACATCAATAACAGAAAGGAAATAAAGCCAAAGTACTAAATAAATTAAAAAACAGACCATTGAGCACAAAAACCATTAAAAATACAACCGAACTGTAAAATATAAACTGCAGCAAAAAGGTAAAACTTGTCAAAATGTATAAATCTGCAGTAACTCACTATGGAGTGATGTTAGTTGTATTTTAAAGTAAAGTATCCATTTAGATTAAATCTCTTCCTGCTGATCTCATGAAAACACTACGACTCAGAGCTCTCATTTGTTGTTTTTCTAGTGTTAGTATTCAGAAAATAATCTCACATAGATATCTTAGTCCGTCTGTTAACATGTAATAAAATAATCTAATAAACTGTTTCTTAAGGGTTGGGAAGTCTTCATAATACTTTGATGTTAAAAAGAAAAACATTTCTATGATGGATATTAATCTTTCATGGGCACTTCAGTTATAAAGACGTATATCCCATAATACCCAGTGCAATAACTTCCTCCTAACTGCCTCCACCCTGCAGCTGAAATAACCAGAGGATGAAAAATTCTTCAAATACAAAGTCCTCACAGAAACTCTTGCTTTGTCAGGAAACAATTTGAAATATTTGAAGCTTCAAATAAGCAGAAAACTGCCCTCAATTTGCAGCATGGGGGGGGGGGGGGGGGGTTGAAGGGAACTGGAAACCTGCCTCAGTTTGAACAACGAGAGAAAAAGTGCACACAATTCTTCAAAAACAGCCTCAACTATCTGTCAGACTGTTTAAGAGACAAAAAGGAAGGCTGACCAATGCAGACAAACTCGGGTCTTCAAATCACAGCATCCAGACAGTAAATGTTAGCATCCATGCTGCAACAGTCCTTAAGTTAGCAGAGCAAAGAAACAAAACTCTACTGCTGGAACACTTAGGCTGCTACTGGATAAACAACAACAAAAAAAGATTTTTACACAACACCCATTAAAAAAAAATTCATAACATGCTGTATAAGAAAAGTTTAGCAAGGAGTGGTGAAGGCTGCACAGAAGACTGTTGGAGTCAGCCTCCCCACCATCACAGACATCTACACCTCCAGATGCAGGAAGAGGGCCACCTGCATCATGAAGGACCCCACTCACCCAGCACAGACACTTTTTGCCCTGCTCCCCTCAGGAAGGAGGTTAAGGAGCATTAAGTGTAGAACCACTAGACTGAGGAACAGCTTCTACCCTGAAGCGGTTAGACTCATGAATCTCTAACCAGGATAATCACTGTGAAAAAAAATCACATCATGTTGCTGCTGATCTGTTTCATGTTGCTGCTGATCTGTTTCATGTTGTGTTCATTCATACTCATCTGCTCACACAGACTCATGTTTGTGCTGCTGTTTGAAGTAATATTTTTATGCCATTAGTGCTTAGTGTATGTTTAACATTTTTCTTGGTTCATATCTTATTACGGTTTTTCTTTTACATTTTAATACCCTGTGTACACATGTGGTACATGTGGTGGAATGACAAATAAAGAACCTTGAATCCTTGAATAAAAGTTAAATTAGGTAAACTAGACAGCTAATAACAGTGAATTGTTTTCTTCAAGTTCGGAATCTATACATATGTCTACATTAGAGGGCAATAACTAAAGTTGGGTACTTGGAGGTTTTATTATTATAGAGGAATATATTAGAAAATATGAAGTATCATATGTTTGTTAAATTCATGATATCTATTTGTGACCATTAAAAAGTGCATAATAAAATGAATATTACAAAAAGTAATGACAATACTGATGATTTTGTTTGTGCATACACCACATTAGACATTAGCCTTTACATATCTGTCATTTATGTCAGATTTAATATAAAACAGATGTTTTAATCCAGAAAAATCCCATGTTCAATGTTTCATCTGTGAGATGCAAGCCTGTTATTTGTTCTTCATTCTTTGACAGGATAGAAAACCCAAATATGGAATATCTGAATCATCAGGTCCAGATGGACTAGGATAAAAACAAAACAAAAAAAACTACACATTCAAGACCAAAATGGAGCCATGCACACTGACAGATCAATTATCACTCAGCTGCAAAAACAGAAATACTGTTTGGAGTCAGAAGCACAGCTTGTTTTACTGTGACTACACAGTCGGCCCCAAAAAATAAAATTAATGAGCAGCTGAGGCACGCTTGTCCTCCATTATTTAATTATAGCTGAAGCATGTGCTGCAAGCTAGTTCGTTGTTTTTATAAACATGCAGCACTGTAAGGGACGATCACAGATCAGTGAGCTGCAGCATGAAATCATGCTTCTTATGTGCAAACAAAAGGACTCAAACTGAGGCTGCAGCATTTTGAGTCTGAGCTACAAGGTTAAGGATTTGGTAAAACATTACCTTTATTTTAGCCAGTGACGACAAGCAACTTACAATACAACAAATGAGTTAATTATAAAAGTGAGGAAATTATTACCGGTGGACCTTTGAAGATATAAAAATATGGGCCTCTGAGGGCCAGGAACTTGAAAACTGAAGTTCGACCAGAGGCTCTCCCCTCGTGACTTTCACAGACCCAGCCCATTTGTACGATCTGCAGAGACAAAAAAAAAGTACATAATTATATTGTTAATTTTGGAAACTATGTAAAAAAAAAAAAAAAAAACAGTTGGAAATTAGTGCATAATTAAGATAAATGTTCAAACAATGCTAAAGTATATTATTTAGACAAATGATGCAAGTGATGCAGAACAGAATGGACTCCTTCAGTACAGTTTGCATTCATTTATATTCAGATTAAGCTGGTCTGATTCCCAGAGAAACATTTGCCCCATTTCATTGTGTACACTGTCGAATCTCCATCACTGCCAAAGACCATCTGACAACTCATCTGTATTTTGCAACTTTGAATAAAATGACTAAAATGTTACATTTTACCCTCAAATGTCATTCTGAAAGTGTATTTTTCATTTTTAATTGTCAGGGCTGTAGCAGCCAGAGCTATGATTGTATGCAGATGACACCATTATGTCACCACCTAACATGACCTTTGCCAACCGGACATGTGGACAGAGATACAAAATTGCAGCCTCTTTAATTTGGATGACAAAAATTTTAGAAGAATTTCAGGACGGAACCATAAGTTATACCAGACTTTATTCTCCTAAAACAGCTTGAAGCTCTATGTGAGAAAAATAGCGAAGTTTGAGCAACATTAAGGAAGATTTTCGATAGATGACCATTAAAAATGTAGAGAACAGTGGAAATTGCAGCGTATGAATCAAAGTTAGTTAATAAGTCAGTTATCAAGCTGCTGATGGGACCTGCTAACACTGCTAACAAGACCACGCCACTAACAGGACTATGGTGCAAACTGGACCATGTTGCTAAGATAACCTCACTGTCATCAGAACCACTCTGCCAATACGACCATGCTGCTGTACATTTATTTCTTTTTCCACTTTTGGCACCTTGTTTCTGTATTTTTGTTGCATGCTTTGAATAAATCCCAGTTCATGTTAATTTTGGGGCTCCGAGCCCGACTCCGCTCGCATTAAGCATGCAAATTATAGCCAAACAGAACCTATGAGAACTGTGCTGCTGTTGTTCAGTGTATTGTTTTGCACAATTAGTGATTAGCGTCTATCTTGGACCTTTTAGTGTACTGTTGGGCATTCGTTTAATGTATATCTTAATTTATATCTTGGATCCTTATATTTTTGCTGTTGTTGGATGTAACTGGGACCCTGTGTACACAATTTCATTCTACCTCATGTACCACATGCGATGCGAATGACAATAAAGAACCTTGAATCCTTGAAAGGTATGATGAATTATGGAGAGCAGAACAGGAAACCCAATCATAAAACTAGTTCCTCGTGGCACTGCTCCGAGGAGGCGTCTGTAGCCAGTGGTTACCACGGATACTCCTCTTACGGCCTAGACCGATATTTAGAAGGTGTTATCAGAGTGTTTAAACAGTGCATTGCACAGTACCAGCATTTTCAGTATTATTTCGGCCTCTCGCACCATTTTATTTCCTGTGTCTGGATTATTGCGGCTGCAGCACGTGGAAACCTCCTTCCTTTTGGCTCAACACTTTGTGGCTCAATTTCATGTGAGGAAATTGAGTGTCTGTTTCTGACCAGGAACCAGTTCTTGCGCTCGCTTCATGACTTGCTCCTTCCTTGTCTGATTTGACTTCAATCAAATTCTGTGAATTGCTTATTTTAGAACTCCTTTCAGTTCAATTCAGATTTAAAAATGGAGGACCTGGACTATTATTCATCCTCACACATTAGGGATACATGCTATATTCTGTGACTCGCTATACTTTTAATTAAACTGTACCTGCTGCTTTTTTGCTTTTCTGCTTTTTTACCCCGTCTGCTGATAGTTTTGATGTATTCTGGGTTTAGTATTCGATTATCTTCTAGCTATTTTGAGTGTTGACTGTTGCAAGGAGCTGATTCTGATGTCTGCAAACTGGGCCAGGCTACTCTAAACAGACATTTTCTGTCAGGAGCACCAGGAGTAGAGGTGTTGCCGTTTTTCCATTTTAAATTTTATATTTCACAATAAAAGGTTGGAGCCCTTTTAAACATTTGATTCATTGCTTTTTTTGGGTGTCCTTGCACACAGAAGCCAAGATGTCCTTTTTATGTTTGTTTACTTTATAAATTTAAAATAAATATCTGAATTATTACCACCCAAATGCTTTTTTTTGGTATACTCTATCTCACAAACATTGATGTCACCAAAGCAGCAATAAAACTAAAAGGTAATTATGGAATGTGATAAAACTTGAAGCTGGCATAAAACAAAACTACTGAATGTTTCAGCAAGTTATGGCTGTAATACACACCTGATCATCTCCAGAGCAGTATTTGTTGATGATTTTTATCTGCAAGAAGAATAAAAGGTTTAGTGAATTACAAATCAAAACATACTTTAACACAAAAAGCTGTTTCTTTGTTCTGCATGCTGACTTTATGCTCATGCCTTGTTTTCCTGTTTTGTTTTATTTGTGTGTTTTTTGAACAACACCATATACAGACCTGGTATAATTTAAGTATTTTGAGTCATTTTCTAAGTTTTATGTTGAGGAAGCCACTTCTAGAAACAGTGCTGTGTTTCAGTTTTTAAGAAATAATGACCATTTGGACAATCATGTCCAAAGGAGACAGATTCATTGATGGGGTTAAGCCATGTTCATCAAACGAGTCAAAGCAACTTTATTAGAGGAGTTTTATCCCTGATACCCAGTTTCACTCTAATCCACACCTCCATGCATGCAACCAAAACATTTCATAAGCTTGACGTACAAAAACACTGAGGAGGAAGGTGAGATTAATCTGCATGTGGATTATAATAATAAAAAAAAAAGAGCATCATGCAGCTTGGAACTCCAGTTTCCAGTTTTGACCTGAACACCCTCTGGATGGGAAACAAACAACTTTAACTAACCCAACAGAAGTTCAGCTGCTTTGTTTTTAAACACTTAAAATTGTACTAAAATTTTTTTTTTTTTAATCACAATTTTTTAAAAGAAAGCCTTTGGGGGAAAAAAGACTAACTTTCTGCACACAGTTGTAGTAAAAAAAAAAAAAAAAAAGTGCATTTAGCTCCTGTGCTCCACTGTGATAAACATGGCGCTGGTTTCATCACCTTTCAGACACCAAACTGCCCATTTTCTAAAAACATCACACTATCCTTCCTCATGTCAGATTACAAACATTCACGGTTTAAAAAAAACCCAACAGCTTCTCATTACAAACACAAAGGATGTTCGAGTGTACAGTATTTAAAGGTTGGAGGTCATTAAAACAAAAGTTCCACTCTCTCCTAAAGCAGCCACACAATTAGATCCTGATTGGCCATTTAGCAATCACTCTTCACATCAGTAATTAGGTGACGCAGGCATAAATTAATCACACTTTAAAAAAAAAAAAACACCCAGCTGTGTCATCGACTAGCACAGACGTACAGTATGGCTGTATCCTCACCAAAAACGCCTCGCATCAGTGTGTTAATCAAAGTGAAATAGGAGGAAATGAGAGAGAGAGAAGAGCACAAGCCGAATGACTACTTAGGAGTCATTAATTAGGACTGAGAGAGCTTCTTTCTGTCTGAGAGGTGCCTCTGAGTCACTGAGGGCTTATCATGAAGGATCTATCAATGTTGCATTATTGCATGTAAGAGAAAAAGTTCTTAACATTACATGTTCACTGTTACAAAGGAAAAAGCTCTGATCTTTTGTGGTAAATGTAACAATTTTCTGAAATAAACGGCAAATATTAAATCATGCATTCACTTTTAAATCCATTTGCAGAGTCACCGATCCAGCTTTGAGTGTTATATGTACTTACATTCTCCTGCGTCAGCTCATTGATGTTTGTAGAAATTGCTTGCAGCCAGTCTGTGCTTTCTGCTGCAGTGCAAAACTGGAGGATGTTGGTGTTGGCACCATCCAAGGCCAACACTTCAAAATAGTTGGATCTGGAAAATCACAGGTCAGAATAAGATCGTAAATAAGACTGCTTATGTTTGGGGAAAAAGTGAAACTATACATGGGTCCCACATTTAAAAAGCAGTTATTAATGGTTGTAGGACAGAAGTTCACACAGAGGTTCTGCTCTGTGAGCACTTCCAGCTCATAAAATAAAGGGTTCTGGGCTGATAATTTGCAGCTAAAGCTTCGATTTGATCAGCCGTTTTAGAAGCCGACTTTCAAAGTCAAAAAGGTTAGCAAGTGTGTAAATTAAAAATTTTGCACAGACCAGTTGGGTATCTCTCTTGTAAATGAGTCATCGTGGCTCATTGAGTTGTATAAGGTTGAATGAATGAATGAATTGTGAATTGTTTTTTTTTATTATATGAAGAAATTATTGAAAGATCAAAGTACTGACCAGTGCAGTTTTCAACTAAAGTACTTAAAACAAAAAATCCAACACACAGGGTAGGTGCAAGATCCTGGATCAGTCCATATGACTAGCAAAGTTGCTTTGTGCAGAAATAAAAATGCAGAGCTGCAAAGCTGTCAAACTGAAGCTAAACTTCTATTTACATTTTCTTTTGCTTAGCTGATCTTATGTAACAGGTCTTTAACAGGAGGAAAACCTTGACATCCCCCTGTTCCACTGATACAATGGCTTCTCCTGGGGAAAACCAAGATGTTCCAAGGCCAGAGAAAGTTTATAATCTTTCCAGGGAGTGCTGGGTCTTGGTCTACCAGGGTCTCCTTACAGTGGGATGTGCCCAAAAATATAGGGAATCAACCAGAAGGCTTTCTAATCAGATTCCTAAATTGACTCTGCTGTCTTCTAGATACTTGAATTTCTCTATTTGAAGCTAAAACTCAGCCCCAACCTGGAACGAGCATCACAACCTTTTTAGGTAGACAACCTTGGTTGGCCGCAGATTAAGAGGAGCTGCACACCTGAAGGCCGTGGCTTGCAGACTCCAACAGAACCACATCATTCATAAAAAGCAAAGACAAGACCCATTGGTTTCCAAACCAGACAACCTCCTCTCCATGACTGCGGTAGAATCCTGTGCATCCACAAACAGGATCAGAAATAAAGGTCAGTCCTGGAGGAGTCCAACCTGAGCAGAGATCGAGCTAATCTTTGTTGAGCTAATGTGGACAGAGTTCTTCTTTTGGTCTGCATAAATCTCATGATCCCAGCACCACCCCAGAAAATACTATTAAGAGAACTGTAAGACTTCTACAGATCCACAAACACTGGACTGGAAAAGCAAACCTTTGTGGAAATGCAGAATTTTCACATCAGATAAAGCATTTTGGTGCAGCTGTGCATGAAACTTTATGCATCGATTTAATGATGAAAATGAACACTTTTTAAAGGAAAGAGTCCTCTTTTAAAGATGAGACATCAATAAAACCAACCACCCAAAAACTCAACTTTCTCCTATTTTTACCATCTCTCCAGCAGCGTCGTCATGCATGACGACTCTCTTAAAGTAAAAACACTGTTTCTGTGTTAGACCCTGGACATGCATCCATTAATCAATGCACTTGTTGGGTTCCCAAACTGTCAGTGAGGAAGAAAATTGTATTCTTTCATTCTGGCAACCAGCATAAGAAGGTCAGGAGGTTAGAAGAGGAAACTGCAGAAAAGTAAAGTGGCAGAAGAAGAAAAGAACCAGGAAGACCAAAGGTTGGCAGCGTCGGGAAAATTACTTGAGCAAAACGATTGATTTTTGTTGGCAGATTTTTCAAAGTTGTATTTATTTTTGCTTTTATCGGTTATTTACAAGAGGCCAAATTAAAACAGTTCTGCTCAGAGTTGCTCCCAATTTTTTTAAATAAAAGCTCATTTTGTCATTTAATCAGGAAAACTTTGCAGTAAATCACTTCCTGCACGTTGGAGCTCAAACAAATAACCAAATCATTCATGTGTGATGTTCTGACACGTCTTTCAGCCATTTGTGACCAGTTTGGGGTCGTTTATCTAGATTGTGAGGTGCTGTTAAAATAATGGTGACACGTTTGGCTGAATTTGAAGAGACACTCCTGTAAATCCACAGACATTTCAGTTTTCACCCCGAAGCTTCAGTTTCAAATCAGTAAACGGTTGACTCACTGCCATTCAAAGCCACCATGAATCTCCTCTGCAATTTTAGTTGTTTTCAGTTTCATCTGTCCAAATTAAGCTTTATAAAGATGGCTTTGACTAATCTAATTGGTCCAATCAGCCCTTTCAGTTCTTGTTTGTTTGCATCGTGTGCATTCACGGTAATTAAGTGTTTGGGATTTTTAAGGCAAACGTGGATAAGAAGTCTATTCCTTGGGGAGTTTTTCTCTTGGCTGGCTGGTGTGATGAGTTTCTAAGAAAATTACAATTTATTTTCATCTTTGGAGGACTTCCATATATTTTATTGTTGTTTACAAAAACAAAAGATTATTTTGCGACCACATTCTTGTCTAAATGTGTCCCGCCTTCAATCTTTAGGGACGTCTTATATAATTGCACTTGAGGCAAAAAACATCTGGAGTTGACATCTCAAACTGGTTGCGTTGTCAAAATATATATAAAAAAGAGACTTTCCATTTGAAAACAAGCATGAACAAATAAAACCAGGAGTGGTAAGCTCATTTACACAAAGTTAAAATAAAAAAGTTGGTCCTAGTCAATTATGGAGGGTGGAACAGTGAAATAAATGTATTTTTAAATACATTATTGAAAATGACATTATTTAAAAAGGTACATTTATTTATTTTGTGGGACATTTAGTTGTGCATTTAATAATTTAATTGTATATTTAATGATGTGTTTAATAATTAAATGCATTTAATTAGGATTCATTTATTTAATTTATTCACTTCCACCCTCCATAGTCAAGGGCCAAGCTCAGTTTATTTTTCTTTTCATAAATTTTACTTTATACAAGAATATTAATTTTTCCCCAAGACATTGTATAAAACCTAGAACCAAAAAAAATAAATTGTATGAAAAACATAAGTAGCATTCATTAATTTCTTACACCTTCGACTCAGTAATACACTTCCAATTCATCTAACCAGCTTTTTTTTTTTTAAAGTACAGTAGTCACTCATTTATAACTGGGTTTACGGGACCACACCCCCCATGATAAGTGAAAAACCCTGAAGTAGGGATGCAGCAGTCCAAGTACAAAATTATGTACACAAGTAGTAGTAACTAAGTAATAGTTTATTTTAGTATAATATCTATATATCTATATCTATACATATACACACACACACACACACACACCTACACTCTTGCAATATTCTAAACAATGTTTCTAAACTCAACACTCTGAAAGAACACAGAATGTTATGATCTTCCTCTCTCTGCCACGCTGTAATCAAACTCATCACAAGTTTCACTCCCAATCTCTTTCTGTGTAAATAAACAATTTAAATACTGGAATATTTTAAATAAACAATTCATGCAGCATGGATTGTTTATTTTAAATATTACCGTATTTATGTTTAAATTGTAGAGAAGAGAAGTGCAGCAGGACAGCAAAGGGTTAACACGTCACACAGCTGATGCAGCACGGAGCAGAAATGCACTTCTTGATCAATTACAGTGTAACAGCTGAACATAGAAGTTCTAAAATAATTAATAACTTCTAACACTTATATTTTGTGATAATTTTACGATGCGAGAGTTGGAAGACAAAAGTCGATCAGTGCAGCTGGACAGCAAAGGGTCAACCTTTCACGAAGCTGCTTCAGTCAGAGGAGACATGTGGGCGTGGCAGAGAGCCGCAGGTGGCAGAGAGCGGAGATCATGACAGGCTGCAGAGAAAGCTTCTCCTTGCACCTAATGATTAAGCAGGTGCTAAATCATTTTAAATAAGTTATTTTAAGTGAACAATCCATGCAGCTCGTGTGGCTCATCCATCAATCAACCGATTGTGTGTCGTGTCCACCCTGACTTTGAAAAACTGCAAAAGAGCAAGTCCATGAAAGTTGAACCGCGAAGTAGCGAGAGACTACTGTACTTAAAAAGTACTTTGATTTATTTTTTTAATGCATCCACTAGCATGGTACTTTGGAATTACAATAGAACATGCACATAAAAACATTTAGAAAAACTGTAAAAGCCAGATTTTAAAGGTTGACATTTATAACTGCTCTCTTAAACCATATTAAGAAATTCAAACTTTTTGTTTCCAGCATCCAAGTTGTGTTTGGAGTCTGTCTGTACAGAGTACACTTTTTCAGCTAAAGAAGCAAGACAGACCCAATCTGCCATGGACTGTCAGTTCAGTTTTAATATATGCAAATGTTTGTGGACCAAATAAAATTGCAACAAAGGTCAAGTCTGGCCTGTGGGGCCTCAGTTTGACGCATGAATTAGACTCAGCATCACAAAGCTTTTGACATATTTAGCTATATTTAGACAAATGCATAACAACTCCTTAATCTTCTTTATCATTAAGTTTCTGTGCTGATGAGGCGTTGAGGTCATCTCAGAGGAATCACACTCATTAACAAACTGATACTTTGACATTTAATTTCAGTGCATTTGCACGCTGCCGACAGTTCTGGCCCAAGAGAAAATTGACCAGAAAAAGCATCTAAACACAGAAACAGTTATCAGTGACGGTTAGACAGTCCAAGGCTGTTGGAGAAATGTTGAGCAGCATCAGTGAGATTTCTAAAAACAAACAAGGCATCCAATGCTAAAGCTGAAAAGGGCAATCCTTAAAAAAAATATAAAGTAAAAATAAAGCAGGCAGCTCTTTGTCACCAAGAGACACAGCAGCTCCTTGAAGTTAAATGTTAAAAAGTCAGCGCTCTTAACAAATCCCTGAGTGGGCATGACTTGCTTGTTAAAATCCTATGTTCTGCTGCTTGTGTACTGACCCGTCGACTCTCCTGGGGGCATTTTGACCAATCGTGAACTATTTTTTTCCCCACACATAAAAAGGAGTACAGTAATTTCTACTAAATAATACCTGACCCAAGTTCCTTTATAGATGATCATGTATGCATCTGA